ACTTTGAAGGTGCTACACATTTTGTTCTCCAGTAACAATTACATTCTACAGTTCCCAAGTAATAAACACCCATTCCGATAACTAATTAGGAAAATATTCCTCAATCATCAGAGACTTTTTACTTGGAGTTTCAAGATTAGGAAACAGGAACAAATCACCAAGAAATCCTTCATTTTGTACAGATTTTACATTTCTTTCATAAGTGACTTGATTTCCATTAAACCATATTAAGTTACATTTATTTAAGTTATAAATTAAATATCTTCATGGACCCATAAGTCTACTGTTAACAAGATGCAAGCCAAATCCAAAGTTCTATGTGAAGATGAAAGACTTTAATATCTGTCTTGTAACTATTTACACTGTCGTCATATTCAAAACATTTTGGCTGATGTACATTCTTTTTCAGGTGATATACATTGGAATTTTGAACCTGAAGAAGGCCAGAGTGTACAATGGCTGAAATATTGTGAATGCTAGAGGACAATAGTCCAAACAATGTAAATAATACGTTAATATTACAAGTCTGGTTATCTTTATATTATAATAATAATAAAAAGGAGACACTTGATCATGCAATTTGAAAAATAATTTTGCAGTAAGCTATTACAGAAATGTTAAAGAGTTAATTTTTTGAAGACCCATTTAAAAACTTATGTAAACCTGTCAGGGAAAGAATAATATATATATATATATATATATATATATATATATATATATAACATTAACTAAAGCATTTGTAAATGAAATCTAGGAGGGGATTACAAAGTCACATTTTTATATAAAACTTTTCTATCAAATTATATTCATAATATCAATAGTGTATATAAACAGTACAATAAACCAAATGGGCAACCTTAACAGTGGAAATGATTAGAGACAAGAAGCACTTAAATCCTTAATACAACTATAAAGATCTCTAAAACAAATGTACACATGTCAATTGCCAGAAAACTGTCCAATTCTTTTAGAATATTCCAGAACAAAGTTCAGAAACAAAGTCCTTAAATTTAGGAAGGAAACTGCAGACAATCTATTGTTTGTGTCATTATGAATCTCTTGATAAGAAAAGTGATGGAGTTACAAATATTGGGGGTGGTGGTATTTAATCTCTTCCCCATTGTAGACATGTATATACATTTTTATCAAAGATGTCTTTCAGACACCGACAAACAAACATGTCCAAAACAATGTTCAAAAACCACTTACAGACGTGTTTATACATCAATCAATTCTTTTTATACCCTTCTGAGCTTGAAATGAGTCCAATTGTCAACCCATACATTCCCTATAGAATGGGACGCAACTTTCTAAAGGCGTCTTGTAGCATGAAGAAACTTATTAGGAAAGTACTTTACAGGGTTTCTAAACTAGAATTTAATACTAAAATGATTTATTTTCAAATAAAGTTTGTGTAGATATCAGATTCAATTATTTACAATTTAAAAATATGAATGAAAGTTAGAAAATTATCCCAAGATTTGATTGTCAAGTATGCCTCAATTTTAAAAGATACTTCGAAACAAAATGAATAAAAAAAATAAAAGTTATGATAGAAATGAATCTACATGTGAAAACTTATTGTGCATAACTTAGAATTATATATATATATATATATATATATATATTTATTTTCTTTTTCACACAATATTTATAGGTTTCTGGCAATCTGAAACAAGGGTTGGCATCCTTTTGAAGAGAGCAGGCCAGACAGCTATACAGTGTCTCAGAGCAGGGAGATGCCCTATAATTGTCTCCACCTCAGACAGTTCCATCCAGAAGATTGCCTTGGTTCAGAGGTTTAAAGAAAAACAACAAAGTTAATGTTATATTATTTAAACAATATTCCTTATTTTACTGCAAGAATAACATAAACTAACAAAATATTCCTCATGACAGTTAAGTTGGCAGGCTGGACAAAAACCCTCTGTGGCTTGAACCCGAATATAAAAACTAGTCCCAATTTATTTTTTAAAGTAGAATTTACAAATTAACCTGCCAAAGAATGAAGTCTTAAGTTTATAATACTGTATACAATACATAATTTTGAAAGAAAAAAAAAAAATACAATGCCTCATCACAATAAGTTAATGTTCAAAGAAAATCATTACAAAGTTTAATACTTAAAAATAAAAATATGAAGTCTCAAGATGTGTAATCTTTACATACAAAAAAAGTTTCATATAAAAAAAACTAACATTTGATGTGAGGTGGGAGGAGGGAGTTACTAGATATAAATTCATGAACTTTGTAGCACTTAATAAACCAGACAAAAGATTTATAATCAAATCATATCACTTATCTTTAACTCAAAGTGGTGCTTTTGGTTATAACTATTTATAAAAAAAAAAAAAAAAAAAAAAAAAAAAAAGAGAAAGAAAACACAAACAGAATAAAAAAAAAAAAAAAAAAAAAAAAAAAAAAAAAAAAAAAAAAAAAAAAAAGAAAATGAAGAGGTTCACCAGAAGGTCATACACCCAAAACACCTGGTCTTTCACCTGAGAAGGAAATGACTCATCATAGTTGCAAAGAAAGTAAAACTGTATTTAGTACTGGGTGAGCACACATTTGCAATTAGTTAACAAACCACCCCACCTTCAATTTTGACAAACACTACCCCTCCCTCCCCTATCAAAATGTCCATTAATGAAATGTAAACACTGTGCTACAAGGCTTTTCTGCAAATACTGGTTCTAGACAAGAGCAAGCAATCTACCAAAGTTCTAAATAAGTGGCAGATAGAAAATAAATTGAGATTTATTTTCTAAGTTAAATCATGCAGAGATTTTTTTTTTTTTTTTAAATTTCATCTGCCCACAGAACATCTCTAAACATGCTTTGTTATTGAGACTAAATATACTACACAAAGACTAAAGGCTCACCATCCCAAGAACACAAGTACTGACTTTATATAATAATGTTCAAAAAGTTTTTTTTTTTTTGGGGGAAGAATCTGTCATGAAAGTGATCTCTACCAAAAGATAGGAGTGGGACAATTTTGGTTAACCAGTTAATGAAAGGGTTTGTTTTTTTTGTTTTTTTTTTATTACTATGAAGCATTCAGTAATAATGTGAAGTCAAAAGGTATTTCTTTTTTTTTTTTTTTCCTTTCTCCATTTGAACAACTAAATACAATTGTAACACTCAGATTTAAGGGGTTTTGGATTTTGTTTAGCAAACTTAGAAATTAGTCATGCAAGGAATAGCCAGAGGTTCTGAAATTGAAAGAATCAACCTATGGATGATTAGGTTTTTGAAAAGATATGCAAGAAGTTATTGGAAATATAAGCATCAAGACCTAAAGATAGATAAGTATCTGAAGAAATTTATATTAAATTAAAGATGGGCAATGATTTTGAAAAATGGAATATGCCTTTTCAGACTAAACATTGAAGTCTTTTTTTCCATCAATAAGTGGTTATCATAAATGCAGTGTTTATTTTGGATGTAGATTTAGGTACCTCCAATAATTTGGTATATCTAAGGTTTAAATAAATTTTCATAAATGAAAAATCTTGAAGCTTTCATTTTAGCTTTAATTGAAAGCTAAAGGATTAAATTTCCAGTAAGCAAAATATCCTGTAGTGTGTTTCAAACAGATTCTATGGTTGGAGTTTTTTTTTTTTGGTGTGCTAAGTGTCCCTTTTTTAACCATCTGTCATTGCAATGAATTTTTTTTTTTTAAATCTTTCAAAAATAAAATATACTTTTCTAAAACATTACTTGAGGAATATTAGCCAATTTAAAGTTTAAATCTGATTTGAAAAAAATGTTATTTACTCTAAGTTGAAAATAAATTTTTAAAACAAATAGTAGCACGATTAAGTGCTTGTCAACACCTTGTAAATCGTAAGAAGTGGGCTTTACGAGGTGTTGACCTATTATTGTTCTATGGAGACCTTATCAGTTAGACCATTTAAAAAAAAAAAAAAAAAAAAAAAAAAAAGTGAACACTTATATAATTTGTAAGTATTCAGTAATCTAAATGTTAGAAATATTCTCTAATCTAATTTTAGGAATGTTAACTTTAAATTTATTATCATGATTGATCTTATTTTCTCATGTCATACTTTCAAAATCAGCACATTTATACACAAAAAAAGATTAAAATTTCTGGCATGATGATTTGTATTAAGCTTTTCAGTTTTCACTTAACCTAAAAGACAACCACACTTGGAAGAATTGACACATTTTAAACTTTATAAAATATAAATAAAAAAAATTTTGTACCAAGATTTTCTAAAAATTTAAAAAATGAATTTGTGAATAATCCTGAAAGTTTCATTAAAATCTGAGAATTATTTGATTTTTGCAAGACTTTTCAAATTAATGTGTTATTTTACTGAAACAGGTGCAAAAAATTTGAATGTTAGAAAGGAGCACAAAAATTTTAAAAAATTACAAATACTTTGTTCATTCCTCTTAATAAACATTTTATTAAATTTGGGGCTTTTTTCATCATGCTATCCTGTTTATTGTATTTTTTATAATCCTTATCTGAATAAAATTACATATGTCCACAGGGCATAAAGAAATCACAAAGCAAATACAAAATGTCAAGGAAAAAAAAAAAAAAATTCTGCCATATAAGCCAAACTGAGAATTTTAATACAGTCCAAATATACAAATTTGGAAACTTATCCAATCACCCAAACCAGTTTTGGGAAGAGAGGAACAAAAAAAAAAAAAAAAAAAAAAAAAAAAAAAAGATAAAAATCCTGTTGAGTAATGTTTAAAAGCTGCTACAATTTAACCCTAATAAAACATCTTATATAAAGACAAGAGAAACCTTAAATAAGTTCAAATGTTTGAGAATCACTGGGATCAGATAAAAATCACTAATTTTTATTTCTTTCAAATCTTTTGCTTTTTTCTTTTAAAAAGAGAAAAAAAATCTCCCTACCACCAACCTGTTTCCTACATCCACACCAAGAACTATTTCAAAAATTCTCAGAGTTCACACACACGCATACAGAGAGTGAAACAGAAAATATTCTCACCTGGTTTGTCAAAACGTGTTCGTTTGTTGGGGGGATCCATGTGCAGCAGCTTTGATCAGGTGTGGAGGGCTCAGAGCTCACTCCAGCACCACACCACCTTCAGAATATAGGTCACCACCTCCGTACTAATATCCGCGTCAATGAAGGACGCTATCCACCTTGATATCTGTGGCACAATGGCCCACACACGCGCAAGAAAGTAGCCAACAAAAAGGTAATTAATTGTCAACCAAGGAACCTGAAATAACAAGAAAATTACTTTTAGACCAAGACAATGAAAAAAAGTTAAATACATTGCTAGACTTTCAAAAACGTTATGCAAAAAAGTTAAGTATGATATAAAATTCACGTTCCACATCTCACTAATTTACAACAAAATGCCGGTTCTGATATAATTCCTCAAAGTTCAGTTATAAAAAAAAAAAAGCAAAATAAAAAATACAGAAATAAAAAAGATAAATAAAAAAGCGTCATGATAATTCTGAGAGCCATTTGAATACTTAGTGAAAGTTACCTCCCTTAGACTAAAAATTTAAAGTAAAAAAAATCGTCAAGCTTGTTAACAATACTTGTCAACAGAAGTTAGGCAGATCTGTCTAGCTTATTAATATAGAAATATACATTAAGTGAATTTTTATGGCATGATATATTAAACTAGTTTGAGTTCAAAAAAGATCTAAGGAGCAAAAACATTTAAAAAATTTATTTAGTGAGAAAGAAATTTTTTTTTTAAATTGAATAACAATGTTAAGTTTTAATACAATGTTAAGTTTTAATTTTATATATAAAATGACCAAGGAACAAACATTTTCATCTCACTTATAAAAATCAAAATCTAGATACTCCAGAAAAGTATACATTGACTGCAATATTAATAAAATGAAAAAATAAAATTTTTAAAAATATTTTTAAAAATAAAAATCTGAAACCGCAAAATTGTCATTTGAAAACATAAAATTCAAGACAACTTAAAGAAAAAAAAATTCTTTAAGTATGTATTCTATTTTTTCAAAGAAAAATTTAAATTGGTAAATAGTAAATATACTACAAAGCCTATATACAAGATGATTGAAAAGTAGGGAGTTACTTAAGAAAGCTTACATAAGTAAAAGCTTTACAGGAAAAAAAAAAAAAAAAAAAAAAAAAGATCCAAAAATGTTACATACAGCCTTGACAACTTTATTTTGCTTTTAAGAATAAAACTTTTCAACAGGATTATCTTAAATGAAACTGTATTTTACAAAATTTTTTTTTGGGGGGGGGGGGATCTTAGTTTATAACAAAAATAAACCACTTTAATAAAACATATTCAAAAAGAACAGATGCAAGATGAAAAACATTGACAAAGTTTTTAACACTGCATGTAGATTTAAATCATCAATATGCCTCTTCTGTTAACATCACACATCACTGATGGTGACATTAAACAGAAAGAACATAGCATATGACTGCAGCAGCAAGACAAACACCAACAAAAGTTTCACAGCAACATTTATTTTTCAAGCAATTCAAATCTCATGCCATGAAGTCGTTGAGCCCACAAGAGCCACTCTGTCACTCCAGCTCTGATTGATTCATTTTCTACAGTTTAGCAGGCATTTTTAAAGCCAGAAAATGCTGAGATTGTAAAAAAAAAAAAAAAAAAATTTTGAGAATGATTTAGTGATTCAAGTCTTAATTAACCCATAGTTGGGGTAGGGAAAGAGGTGGATTCATACCTTCCCCCAAGGGTATTTGCACATAAGTGAATAAAATTAATTGGAGAACAGTTCCAATTCCTGTTTGGTTTGTTCAGAGTCATTATCCATTACACCACCAACACATCTAAGTTTACAGCAATAGGTATTCACAAGCGGTCACCCATATAGGTACTGACCAGGCTTTACATTGCTCAACTTTGGTGATTGGATGGGAACCAGAGTTTTAAATGTGATATGGCTGTAATGGCAGAGTGTTGGGAAACCCTCCAGCACTAGATAGGTCCTTCTCACGGCTACATGGTTTGTTGCAAGGTTGTTGCCAGTTTGCGGATGGTGGTTCAAACTGGTACATATGTCTGGTAGGGCAGTTATTGCAGGGATGGTGCAGAGATTGTTTGGCTGGCCCATCATCTGGTGGAGCTTCTCAGTGGTTAGACTAGTGTACCCCCTTCCCGAAGGTACAGGACTAAGCCATGAACGTGGGAGGTAATGGTCTTGTCGAGAGCCCATGTATCAGTGCTGTATATGATGGCATAAGCAATTCCAACCTTATAAAATAATTAGTATAAGGACAATTTCAGGTACAAAAATTAAGGAAATTTAGTCAATTATTATAGCATAACGATAGCCCTTCAGTGTTTAATTTAAGAAGTATTTTTCAAACTAAATACAGTTAAATAAGCTTTTATTCATTCTAGTTGAAAAGCTTTAGAGCTGTGGTTCCCAATGTGGTCACATGCATCACAGGGGAGGCAATATGAGGAGTTATTAAGAGTGAATTTTTTTTCTAGTCTGCATAAGTACACTTGTAAGAGAGCAAGTGAGAGGAGTTAATACACACACTGCATATGCAGTATATACATACATACATACATAGGTAATGTGTGTGTGTACACACACAATGGCTAAATTGTCATCTTATGTTAATAGATATATTCACCAAAAACTACAAAAATATTTTTAATTCCTAAAGAATATATATATATATATATATATATATATATATATATATATATATATATATATATATATAAGCCTAGAAGCTGCACTGTGGAATTTAGGCTCCTGAAGGACTTTTTCAACCTTTTACCTTCAGTGTCCTATATATGTAAAAGTTAAAATAATTGTTATTTCTAAATTCTTAGATCTTTATTCAACACTAATTTGTCATAATCGTTCATATATGCAACTGATCTCCATTTACATTTTGTGCACAATTTGTAGGTTTCTTAAAAAAAAAAAAAATCCATTCTTTATGATTACTTCACATAAAGTTACTCTTAAAAGAGATTAGGGAACCCAAACTATGCAATATTTCAAATACGTTACAGTACCCGTGATGGAAACAAAAACATGAGCAATGTACCATGCCCTGCTTAAGGTTTAATTAGAGGATATCAGTTCTGATGAAAAGCAAAACTGAAGTGAAACCTTTAAAGATTTTTTTTTATAACCTTTCACGATTTGATATTTAAATTACTTCAGGTTTGTCAATAGCGAAAACAGATGGAAACACATACACTGCACTTGAATTTTGTATATATATATATATATATATATATATATATAGTGTGTGTGTGAGAGAGAGAAAAACATTGCAGGGTGCGATGAGTAAATTGTCACCAATTTATTCAATTTTTTTTTTAATTGTTTTTGTCAACTGCACAGTATAGTAGGTTCAATTGGTTACAGAAACTCCAATACAAACATTTCAAAGTGTTTGGGTGTCAATCTACAGACAGTGCAGAGGATTCTGAAAGAGTTGGATCCAGTCAACATCATGGTGTTTCAAGTGATCACTAGTGATGGCAACACTATGCCTATTCATCTTCCCACAGAGATCTCAGGCTCAACACAGAGGCCTACACCAAGCACTGCCCCAAATCAAGAGGGTGGCTGCTGGAAGACCCTGCATCAAGCAACAGGACTCTGCACCATGCTACACAAGTAGGAAAACCCTGTCATGGCTTTCAAACAATTTCTGTGACCACATCACCCCTTACACCTGGCCATCTAACTCCCCAGACTGCAATGCCCTTGATTATTATGTGGGATGCAGCAGAGCGTGAGGCCAACAAAACTCCTTGTAACAAGAAGGATGAACTGGAGGCAAGAATTATGGCAGAATTCACCAACTTAAACAAGGAAACCACCTAAAAGAGTTGCTGTAGATTCTTAGGTTACCTGGATAGGCATTGTTGAAGCCAATGTTAATTTTTTATGGAATAAATTTACACTTTATTATTCCAAGATATTTGTGTAATTTAGATGACAATTTAGCCATCAAACACTTGATCGTCAGGGAAAGTTGGCCAACTTTCCCTGACGATCAGTTTAGGTGAAATCTAGGTAGGTTTGTCTGGCTCACTAGGTTTATCTAGGTCTGCTCTACAGTTGTATTGAGCTCTTTTGTTAGTTGTTTACTTGTATCGGGTTTTTTTCTTTTGGCTTCAAACCTGCATCTGTGCAATTTTTTTTCGACAGACTTTCATGTTTGTAGCTCTTTCTTTTTTTTAACCCCCCACCCCCGAGATTGATTTGATTATTGGCAAATCAAAAATTCGAGGGATTTTCGAAATGAGTATAGTTATCTATATTTGTATGTGTATATATATATATATATATATATATATAAACCATGTATCACATTTTATTGCATGTCACATTTTTGTTGATATTTTGAGTATTAAACAATGTACATAAGTGAAACTGGTACACTGAAAGATTCTAAGTACGGAGTGAAAAATTTTGATCATATTGGTAAGCTACATACATTATGTTATGTATTTTAAATGTGTCACTTTATTGCAGGTGTACGAGAATGTCATTGAAAATGCCTGACAGTTGCAGAAAAGACATGGATTGTTTCAGGCCTCACAGAAAGCTTATCTTTGGGTGAATTAGCCAAAGAGCTTGGTTAGGATATAAGAACATTGAAGTCATATATGGAAAAATCCAAAACCAAGCCTCTCGTTCACATTGCATTTGACATCAACAAGGTGGCATTATGTTTTAGGATGGCATCATAGGAAATGAAATTGTTGGACCTTTTTCAAGTACCAGGTGTCAAACTCACCAGCAATTCCTACACATTTCTGGAGAATTTTTTAGCATGGTTGGGTGACTTGCCAACCTCAAGTAGACAGCGGTTGATTCTTATGCATGAAAATGCTCCATTGCATTCAGCCAAGTCTACAATTTTGTACCCTCACAACTTTGGGATTCGAAGAACAAACACTAATGACCTGGCCTTCTTGCTCTTCTATCGATCAGTTCTGGTCAATCTTGAAGAGGAAAGTCTTTGAACGAGGTGTGTAGTTTTCATTAAAGATCACAACTGTTGCGGGTATCATAATATCTTCTCGAATTAGTTGGTTAACAACTTCTGTAGAGAAAAGTCAGATGTAATTTCTAAACATGGAAGTTACATAGACAAATAAAGTCCATCACCAACAATCTAATTGTGTTTTTCTTTCATTCTTTAGTCAGGTGTATCATTATTACAATAAAATGCTAATATAAAAGATAATAGCTTGTTTCATTACCATAAATTTACATTTTCATATTCCTGCAATAAAGTGTGAAACAGTTAAAAACACTTTAAAATGCATAACTTAACATAAGGTATGTAGCTTATCAATATGATTAAAATTCTCACTGCATACTTATCTAATTAGAATTTTTCACCAGTGCAGCAAGTTTCACTTTTTTACAATGTTTAAAATTCAAAATATCAACAAAAATGTGGTATAATGTTAGATATATCTCCAAATATGAAAGAACAGATTGAGTAAAATTTCACGGTTGCATTTACTTTTAAGTGCTCAATACAAAATAGAGCAATATATATTACAAGCGATTATAATAAAAATGTTGAAATCATTACATAAAAGCTTTGTTCCAAAATAAATAAATATATATATATATTTTTTTTTTTTCAAGTCATCTGAATACCCCATGAGCATGAAACTAGTGACAACTAGATACTAATGTCAAATCCAATGAAAACGTGTAAGGTGTTTTTTTTTTACTCCAACTGGGCAACCTAGACTTTGAGCACTTTACTGAGTAGGCATGTTTTGCTTCTAGGTCATTTTTCAGATTTGTCATCTGGTTAAGAGTTAAGTTTGGCAAGTTATCCGTTAGCTCAACTTATAGATTTTGTTTGTTTTTTACATTATTACAAGTAGGAAAAGGAGGGAGAGGGGGGTTATATATATATATATATATATATATATATATATATATATATATATATAAATATATTTAAATACAGAAGGCAAATACAATAAATGATCCTCATTGAATGTTTTCAGATCTGTGGTCTTGTGCCAAAACCAAGTTATATTTGGTAAATAAATGTTTTCTAAACTCAAAGCATTTATGAGTAATGAATTTTAGCCACACTGGGTGCCTGGTACTAAACTTAGCAAAATAAAAACTTAAAAGGCAAAGTATTTCAGTCTTCTTTTATCATCTAATAAGCAGATAAGTATACTGACCCATATTCCTAGCAGTATAATTAATTCAAGTTATAAATGACCTTTCAAGGAAATATAGCTTAAAGACACCAGAGTTTAATTGAATAATTTCCAATTAAAAGAAAAAGGAATTCAATTTTTTCTAGTTTATCTGCAAAGCTGACAAAAAACAATCAATACAATTTCTCGAGTAAAGCAACCAATACTGGTCTTGTTACCATCACAGATGACAAAGTTGGAGAGGGTGTGGGACAGTTAAGTGAATTGGGAGAGTACTAACATTAAGGTAGGTACCTCCACGAGATCGCTAAAAAAAAGAGCATAGCATGATGAAAAAGACGCCAAACTTGACGAAAACAAAATTTTATCGTCTAAATGTTTGTTATTATTAAGAGGAAAGATCAAAGTATTTTTTAGGTATTTTTTTCCATTTTTTAATCGTTCCTAGCACGTCCGAAATTTTCGTTAAAAATCTAGTTTTTTTGAGTCAGCAAAATTGACCATTTTTTTCCATTTAAAAAAAAAACTGGAAATCTGACTTTGAAATTTTTTTTAAATATCAATTATCATTTTTTCAAAACTTATTTTAAGAAAATCAGAAATTATGTTTATTTAAAATATTTTGAACCAAATTTAACTTAGCTTTTGTGCCAAAAAGATGTAATTTGAAAATAAAACAAAGCAGGTCATAAAGTTTCGCGTCTCTTGACATATGATGAATGATATATTTACAAATTCCATGAGGCTAATTTGTTCTACGG